GGGGTGGGGGAATTCATTTATTCACAAGAGGATATGATCATCATTGTTGCAGGATTTTGTCTTTGAGAAATTAATATTTGAAAATTTATTTGATATACATGTACATATACATCTATGATATAACATTTTTTTTTTTGGGGATGTGAGACAATTATGTGTTTACATGTTCACTTTCTTAATTACCAAATTAACTCCCTGCTAGATTCTTTGCTATGTAATTGTTTTAAAAATTCAAATGATTAGGTTATAATTAATAAATTACCTTTTTGTGGTTGCTAAGGAAATTGACCCCGTATTAAATATAGTTTCATTTGTTTGACCATTTCTTTTCTGGCAAAGATTTTTTCAATTGAGAGAAATTTTGGGTTGGGCCTATTTTTAATGGGCCATATTCAATATGGATCCGGATCCGGACCCGGGTTGACCCGGTTCTGGTCCGCCCATCATTCTCCCTCCCTCCCACTGGGCAAAAACCCTTCTCCTCCCTTCCCTTCCATCCCTCTCGATTTCAGAGGTTCAAAAAAAAAAAAAAGAGGTCACGGATTTTTGTTGGTTTTTTTCCCTTCTGATCGATTTCTGTATGGCGATGAACTTTCTTGCGGTCCGAATCTCGAAGCTTCTCAGGAGCTCGCCCACTACCTCTCCTCTAGGTTTCTCTCGCATTTTTCATGAGCTTTTGTGTTTTCTGGTTCCTTCGTTTCATAGGAAATTTTGTTAGCTTCTTACTTACTTTCCCGGAATTTTGTTTTTCTTTTTTCTCCGTTTGATTTCCGTCTATATTCGTTTCTTCACTAGTTTTTTCTACAAAGTTCTTTTTTTATTGTTCAATTTTTTTTTTTCCAATTACGATTGCTTCCAGGAATCTTTCTCTAAGTTGCGTATTCGATGAACAAATCTTCCGGCAATCAGCTGAATCTTCCGCTTCTTTTTCAGTAATATTTGAGGAAGCCTCTGTATTTCATCTTCATTTGTATGAAGTACCACATTGACATTTGCTTGACTGTTTCTTTTCATTGTTGTGAATGCAGTTGCAAGTGCTGGAAGAAGTGCGAGGTCGTGGTTTTCGAGTGGTTCGATCGATGAGGAGATTTTGGATGAAGGTTTCGATCAAAGCCCTCCTGGAAAACCAGAGCTTAGACCCCAAGGAGTTGATCCCCGTAAGGGGTGGGATTTCCGCGGTGTTCATAGGGTAATGTTTCATCAATAACAGATGATTCCTTTTTTTTTTGTACTAATGGCGAGAAAAAAAGGGTATTGCAATGAATTGGACATATTCATTTTGTTGGGTATCATTGTATTGGATGTGTGGCTCTGCTACTTCAAATTCCAGTCAGAGCAATTAGATGTATTTCGTGATTTTCTTCTGTTGTTTGGTTGCTGAGAAAATCCAATGGAAAAGGAATAATCTTTCGTGTTTGATGCTTTGGTAATTTATGCGATCCGAATGTCTGATTGATGGAATATCTCTTTCAGATCATTATTTGGATGCCTTTTTCTGACTTCGTTTTATCGTTCATCTTCCTTACCCGTTATAGTTCTCTTTTGTTACTTTGGTGTCTTAAAATTCATAATTTTATTGATTTTTCTCCTTTTCATTCCCTCTTTATCTAGTCATTGCAATATAAAAAATGATAACTTTGTCAGCATTCGGATGTATTTCCTGGATTTGTGGGATTGGTCATCATGTCATCTACATTCCATTGCTATGTTGCTCCTGCAGTAACAGGAACAACTCGTTTCAATCGACATTTCCTTGGATTTTCCACTTTCTCTGATTGTTCATCTTCTTTTGTTCATACAGGCAATCATTTGCGGGAAAGTAGGCCAAGCCCCTTTGCAGAAAATCCTGAGGAATGGACGAACAGTCACAATCTTCACGATAGGAACTGGAGGCATGTTTGATCAGAGGCTTGTGGGTACAAACAATCAGCCAAGACCGGCTCAGTGGCATCGTATCGCAGTTCACAACGAAGTTCTCGGCACTTACGCTGTTCAGAAACTCATCAAGAAGTACTTGAACATGTTTTTAGATACTCGAAATGAAATCACATTAGGAGTTTGTGTTTATAACTTCTGTTGTGATTCTTTGGTGCAGCTCTTCGGTATACATTGAAGGAGATATCGAGACTAGAGTGTACAATGATAGCATTACCAGTGAGGTGAAGAGTATTCCAGAGATTTGTGTTCGCAATGACGGTACATTTCTTTCTTTTTTTTTCCTTTTGCAGCAGCAGGTAGGATTAGAAGTTATAATAACAGTATCACTTTCGTTGTTGCAGGGAAAATTCGACTGATTAAATCCGGGGAAAGCATCAGCAAAATCTCTTTCGATGAGCTAAGTTCGTTCTCGTTTTCTTGGCTTGTTTAGTTCGACCAGTAAATGTATAATATATATATATATATATATATATATATATATATTAAGAATTCAGTTTTTCTGTGTTGTTTTCTGTAATTTTTTAACTTTTAACTTCCTGTTTTCTCAGAAGAAGGATTGTTTTAGTCGGGATCAAGACCAAGGCAAGAACATTTCATCGCTCTGAAGGGTAGATAAACGAAAGAATCTACGGGTTTCTTGAGAGAAAATAAATACAATGAACATTGCGATCCTAGGTGTGTGTTCAGATTGTGACTGTAGCATAGCGAACATCTCTTTCTAGGGTTCAGATTGTGACTTCCGGTTTGTCAAACCGATTAATTGCAATTTTCAGACCGATCGGTTGTGGTTTATTGTTCAGTTTGAATTCTTGATAATTGGTATTTCTGCACGCGTGTATCTACGATTATATATACATATTTAAATTAAATACTGTCAAAGCAGAAATGTACAAAGGAGGAAATCATCTGCTTCTCAAAACGGTGCGTTTCAAGTTCAAGAGAGAGTGAGCTGAAACACCATCTATGTATGTTCTGTTCTGTAACATCATCATCATCTTGTGTTTTTCCTTTGTTCTTTACAAAAAAAACTGTGCAGCTGTTTCACTTGCCATGACCGGTTCTGCTGCCTGGTCGCTGAGTCCGTGGTCTCTGTAGCTGTGACGTCACGGTGCTTGGAGGTTTCCGGGTCGGTGGTGGAATCAATGACGGGATAAAATTCCTGGCAGTGGAAAAAACCGAAGGTACCAATTTAAATCAACAAACTATTTCTTAGGAAGTCCAATATGAGAATCATCAGTGAGTTTGGATTTTTTTATGCATTTGCATTAATATGTTGTTACCTGGTTTCTTGGGTTTTGGTGTTTCTTGGAGGAGTTTTCTTTGCTCTGGAATTGGCTATAACTGGGATGTTAGATACTCTAGGCACGTTAACTTGAACGTTTAGTTGCCACATCAAATCCGAATCCGAGCAATCGCTTGCTCTACCTTCATCTGATTCGATATCTGTAAGGCTTTGCCCTCCGAAATCTTGGCCACCATTGTTTCTGCAGTTCGAAGACGAAGGAAAAAACATGATGTTCTTGTTTTACATGTGTGTTATCACAGAATGGGAAACCTAGTTTACTTACAGAGGTGGTTCTGGGCGGTAGAATTTCTCGGGAGAATCTGGATGCTCGTCTGGAAATGATTCTTCGAGTTTGTTCAGTATGGCTTTGTCAATCCAATCCCCGGATCCAGGTATTCCCTCGTCGTCTTTTGCATCTAGCGACGGGCTTGGCCATGACATTGAAGGCGATTGTGTTATCTCATGGAGATCTAAGCTGTGTCTTCTTGATGATGTAGAATCACTGAAAATCTGTCAAAAACGTTTGCTAAACAGGGTTTTCTGAGAAACCCGGTATGACCCATATAAAAGCTGCGCTTTGCTTAGGTTGCTCGATATGGAGAAACATACCTCTGATCCACTCAGATCCTCAGTCTGTTGCTTATGACTGCTCGGTAAGTTGACGATACTTGCGAGTTTCGGTCGCGGAGAAGGAGATTCAAGTGATCTTCTTCTCATTATTCGATCACGGTTTCCAGATATAGAGGTTTGTACATCAGGACTCTCTCCTTCTTTCCTTGCTAAGGCCATTCTAAGACTAGCAATCTGACAAGCCCCAAAGATAAAAAGGTACATGAGAAAGGTCAATAAAAAATGGATACTTTATTGTACATGTGTAGTAAAAGTTCGGTAAAAACCTGTTCTTTGAGCTCTTTAACCTCTGAGTTGTCTTTGTTCACACGTGCAGCGCCTAGCTCTACACTGCCAACTCGTTCAGCAAACTTCAGAGTGCTGATCGTTTCCCCGAGAGTATCTGCCTCTGGACTGATGTGAACGAACATAAGGGTCTTGGCCGATCCTCCTAAACCACAGTTCAACGCTTTAATGGAGAGTAGGGTTTATGGTGAAAACATTGCAGAGGGATTCAGACAATAGTTTGAGGATTCTTTACCGAGCGAGTCTTGGAGCAGCTGGGTTAGCTTACTATTTCGGTAGGGGACATGAGCGTTCTTCTGGGAAAGCGAAGAGATGACATCTCCAAGAGCCGAGAGAGACTTGTTGATGTGTTGCGCCTCCTTCAGTCTGTCTCCAGTGACCTCGGATTTGTCCACTCTCTCGCTTCCGGCTAGGTCAACCAGATGCATTGAACCATGTAGAGTAGCCCCTGAGGTCAGGTCTCTACCTTGAACATGAACTGTGAGACAGCTGCAACAAGGGATTAATTGTGAAGGAGGAGGTTATTACAGTATCCAAGATCGTCATCAATGAATCAATTGAGTGATTGAAACTGAAAAAAAAAAAAGCGAGAAGAGAAGAAGGATCACACCTATGAGACCGGCTACTTCTGTCATTCATGGCTGTTGCGCTCACTGCACGGTTCTTTTGTCCAAGATCCATCAAATGTATAACATCGGAAGTTGATGAAACAGGCACGAGGTTCGCTTCCGGTACGTTGAGTCCATTGTGAGAGTTGTTTCTGATCTCTAATGTAATTCGAGGTTAATGATAAAACAATCTTAAAAGTATCAGACAATTGTTTGAAGAAAACAGGAAAAGAAAATCTGTTTCAAATGGAACGGCAGAAGAACATTTCAGTTGTTGAAAGGATATCTTCGGTTTTGGCCATCTGGGGCCAGGAGATCTCTGACTTGTTCATTGTAGATTTCGAGCATCTGGACCGAAATGTCATAGCAGATTGTGTCTTTCCTTTGACTCGACAGAAGAAACAGATCTGCCAGTGCCCTGTAGTTCACACCTAGACCTTCTTCTGTAAGTTCCTTTGGTCCTGTCTAAGATTGGTGAAACCAAACATATTGAGATCTTTGTTTTTTTGTTTTTTTTCTGGGTTTTATGATAAACGAAGTTAAAACCAATAGTTACTTACCATGGTATAAGTTTTTCCAGATCCCGTTTGGCCATAAGCAAAGATACAGACATTGTAGCCATCAAGAACGGACCGGATCAGCGGCTGCATGTCCGAAAACACTTCCTCTAAAGGATCAAGAAAATCATTCCTCGGTATTAGTCATTGAGCAACATGCCCAGAAACACAAAAGGCTTGATAAAGAATGGAGAAATAACACATGAAAAGCTTCCTAACCTTGTGTTGCAGAAGGGCTAAAGACCTTGTTGAATGTAAACAATTTCCGTCCTTCTTTCCCATACTTTGCCGGCAATCTGATCGTGATAGTTCCTTCTTCCATATGATCCACTGTACTCAAAACATTTGGTTGACCCGACAAGAATGGTCTGACCCGACAGTACACCCTTATATTCCCTGATCATGCAATGAACGAATGTTTTAAGGTGTATATTCCCCTAAATTCCCTAGATGGGCACATAAAAAAGTGTGCATAAATGTGTCAAATTCACCTTTCAGGTCCTGCACTAGATTGTATAACTTGCGGTTTTCTTCAAGAACCCTTTTGTAACCCGTGGCCGCGTACGCTAAACCATGAAGATGTTTGCCTATGTGACAGAAAGCAATGCCATTATGAGCCATTTTCTTGTTGAAGGTTAGGATCTGAAAAAGAAAAATGCAAGAACGTGACGTGAATTGGCTCACCTAGATTAGAGAATTCTTCTTGGTACTTCATCTGCAACAGTTGCATTGTCGACAGTT